GACCGTCGGAGAAGACAATGTCAACTCCTATACCTCGTCCGATGGTCCGGATATGAAGGAACGGACGAGGAAACTTCATGGTTGCTTGCAACGGAGCTCGGAAACGCATCCGAACTAGTATCGGACTTCCACTCAGCATATCCGAACAAACCCGGTCCTATTCAACTTTGAAGTACATGATGTGTATACAGATATAAGTACATTTAAGGAAGAAACAGAAACAGACCAGAAAATCCTACATTTCCATAGACCCATCCGCCTCTCCGGATCCGCCATCTTCACTTCCGGACGCCTTATCCATCACTTCATCCTCCGGATCCAGATCCGAAGTCGTCCGAAACCCCTTCCGGATGTGTCCGAATAGCATGGCTTGAAATTCCCTCTGCTGCTGAAGGAACAACTCAATTCCGGAACTCATCCGGTCCGCTGCAGCCCTACTGCCTTCCGCTGCCTGAATGCTCCTCTCCAAAAGTGCGTTCGTCCGAGCCAGTTCCGACACTATATTGTTGGCCGCGGCCACCCAAGCCTGGTCATTGTATTCTTCCTCCATCTCTTCCAGATCTTCCGGAGTCGGACTCTTCTGGCGTTTCTTACCTTTGCCCTTCGGAGATGGAGATCCGGCAGCATGTTTTCTCTTCTTGCCCTTGGACACCTTGACAGTTCCGGGTCGTCCGGGACATGTAGCCTTGTCCTTCCGGCAGATATCGCAAGACTTGATCTATCCGGACGTCAAAAACCCGGATCCGAAGTATCTGGACGACTCACCTGAGCGTTGCCCTCTGCATCCGTCCAAAGACAAGTCCGTCCCCTGTTAGCACAACGCACGCAGGATCTGTCCCTTTCCGCAGACATAGCACGAGTCTTTCCATCCGTTAGAGAAATCCACCATATCCATCCGAAACTCACCATTTCCGCTACTATTTCCTTGCGTCTTTTCTCCTCCGCTGCTACAAGACTCTCAGCCTCCTTAATCTTCCGCAATTCCTCCTGGCGTTTCCGTTCTGCCTCCTGACGTTTCCGATTCTCTTCTTCTTCCATCCGAGCCGCAATTTCCGCGTCCGCTATTTGCTGTTGAAGCTCCAGAAGTTTCTGCTTAGCAGTTTTCTGAGATCTGGAGGTGTTGCCAGACATATCTGATAGAGCGTTATAGAGTGAAAAAGTGGGAAAGGAAGAATCGATCCTGGACGTCCGACCTTGTGTATATCTGTCCGATTCCGAACTCAGAAACTCCCCCCCATCGACTTCTCCATCATCTCGCATTAATTTCGTCCGGTCCGGACCGATGCTTCTTGTGCCTCTAGGGATCGGCCCTAAGGGGGGGATACTGTCATATCCCATATATTCACGCTTCTCTTCCGGACTTCGGACCCTTAGATCCGGTCCGGTCTGATGCATAGATCCGCGTCCGGTCCGATATCCGATAAGCTTCTTAATTCATTTCCTGTTCATATAACGTTAAACACAGCCTATTCGGTATTTCCTCTTCCCGGTGTCTCGGTTATACTATTACTGGTATGATTACTGATCCGTTATCCTATGCTTCATTTCCGACTCGCGTTTGATAAGCTTTGCATATGCTTCGTACATAGCCTCGGACCTTTGCTTATTGATCCTTCTGTTATCCTCTTAGTATATAAACCCGTGTATATTTCCTGTAGTACCTCAGTTCGAATATCATCTTAGTTTGTCCTCTTTCTGTCCTCCGGACTTGAGTCTAATCAACTCTTGTCGATCTCTGAGACTTCGGATCGATTCCGATAGTCTATGTCTCCGCCTCTATCTTCGGATAGTCTATACTCTGTTTGTTTCTAGTCCGGATCCGTCCGGATTAGTCTTATACGTGTTTCCGATATCTGGAAGTCATCCGGATATAACTACGAGACCCGTCCGGACCTTCGGACGCGTTATCGTTAGTCTCTGAAATAAGGGACAGTACTTGGGAAAGGGGCACAGCGTACGAGCTGAGGCCGAAGTCCTTCGGATCCAATCCTACGAGAGTACGACCTTAACACTCATAAACATTATCAGGAATTTGGTTCTGTATGACTAGTGCTAGTAGTATTTCATGGGCACAACTTGAATGAAGCAAAAAATGAATGAGAACATATCAAACCAAAGATAACAATCACTAATACTTACTTTGTCCTAGCCCTTGTATTTTGCAAGATCACTTCTAGTCAGAAACCTGATATCAATGACTATTAGTGTTTGTCTACACTTGTTGAGGAGCTGCTAAATTGGCTTCTCTTCATGTAATGTAGCTGATTATTGCCTCTCAACTTGAATGTGCCTGCCCACAAGCATTGAAGCAAGCAGAAACCTTACATGTATAGAATTCATCTAGCCATTGATAAGGAGCGATAAATGTGTCAACATCGATAGGATGCTCTAATGAGAAGCCATATGAAGGAGTGAGTGTATGATCGCTATCCTCATCACTTTCATCTATAGTAAGGTCGATATCAGGTACATGGAATACATATCATTGACAGCTCTCAAGTGCAGTGAGTGGAGGTGAAGGTGAAGACATCAGTGCTGGTGTGCTAGGCTGTTGATTAGCGATGATATTCTGGTTGGTGGCTTGGCACACAAATATGTACTCTCTTGCAAGATTTTTGTAAAAATGAGGAGAAGCTGCTGCAGAGTCAAAGTTAGGTGTGACTGTTACTCCTGCATTGCATAAGTAGACATAGTATGCATCAAGGGTAAGTACATGCTCTTGAAATATTTGGACCCATCGAGAGTATGAGTGGTTGAAGTATTGGACCAAGTGTGTACCATCAACATCGAATGAAAGGCCAAGTGCTGCTCAGACAGCTGCAGTTACTGCAAACTTGGGATACATAAATCCATCCTGGAATTAACATAACTGGGCATCCTCACCATCCTAGCATGTAACAAGGCAATACATTAATAACAGCTTAAGTAGTAATATGAAAGAAGATTACCTTGCACCACTCATGAGTGTTTACAGTATTAGCAACCCACAGTTCAAGGTCACAATGTGAGGCCACTTTACCTTGAGTTTGCTGGAGTGTCTGTTCCTGCTCTGCATAGCGCTCTGTAAATATTGCAGGAAGTTGAGATCAGTGGTGTGAATTAGCTAGGATATCTATTGTAATGACACAACAATTGCTGGACACTACACAAAATAAGCACCCAGCAAAATATAATGTTGTGGTCTTGCACAGCCTAGTCTGCTATACTTGCGAGACAAGTGCATTCGACACAAGGGGTTTGCTGTTTGGAAGTAGAATATTTAGTTATATGAAAAGAAAGATAGTCTGAAGGCAAAAACATTGGATCTGATATCTTTAGGTCAAGTTAGGTGTCGGGTTACATTGGGTTATGTCAGGTTATGTTGGATTGCATCGGGAATGTGTCGGAAGGATAGAAAATGTCGGAAATAGTGAATGTCGGGTTACTATTGGATATTTTGGGCTGTTTCAGATAAAGAAAGGATGATATTTTGGAATTCAGCTAAGAACTACTAATATTAGATGACCTCCTCCTACTTGGAGGTAGAAAGGTAAGTAAATAGGTAGGAGGTATGCTAAATATATAATGTCTATGTAGAAGTTTGGAGTGCTATAGGTGAAAGTAGTAGCAATAATTTTGAGGTCTGATGTCCTATGTAATAAGACATGTGGTACTGCAGAGATGTAATAATGTGGACTACAATGTTAGCGACATGAAAATGAATAACTGTGCACCTAGTGGGGATAGATACAACAGGACATGACATAGGGAGGATATTTTCTGATAGGCCGATGTAGAGACTGATATCTCTGTGGGCTTGCAGGGATCTAAATTCCCAATGTCCAAATCACTTCCTAATATAGCATGACTCATATCTCACCCAGCGCACTTGAGCACTTTGTCGGCTGCTTGCGCGCATGAGCGCTTTAGTTGCGCATTGGTGCGCGCATCCTTGGTTCCGTTGCTCATCCTCCGTCTATCCATTCCATGTCTGTTCGGTTTGTCGGTGCATATTCCCTTCATATTTCCATTTATTCTGACATATCTCCGGCGCTTATGGCTATATTCCATATGTTTTCGTCATGGACCCTTATATTACATATTATCTCATATCTGCTTCGCTTCTCGGTTCACTTTAGCACTTAATGTTACTTAGTATATATACTCGCGCCTAAACTGTATAATGACTATCTTTTTTCTGCCCGCACATCGTTGGACTCTAAGTCTAAGTTCTCCGTCATATCTACCGACCAACATTAAGTATCTAAGTACCATATGAGCGCCCGCCGCCGTACATTACTAGAAACTCTGTCAGTTTGTTTTCCGATGAAGGTACAACAATTCTGATGGTGAGTCTGAACAATGTTGGGTCTTGCAGAACCTAGCTGCTATTCGACCCTAAAGGGTTTCTGGACCAGGCTCAAGGCTCAGAGGAGAGGAAATATCATGAAAACTTGCTGAGTACTCTAACTCATACTGGTAACTGGTGAAAAGATAACTTCCTTATGTAAGCTACAAAAGTGCCAACATAAGGTAAGGTAAAAACAGTCTCTACAAGCCCAGCCAGAAATGAATCCCTACACCGACTCACTAAAAGGGTCGCTCCGCTCCACCACCCGCATGTGCGCGTTACCATTTATAGTCGCTTGTCATCGCTCATTAGCGCTTCACGTCGCTTTTGCCCGCCCGCGCTTCGCTCATCGTCGTGCGCCTTACCAGGCTTGACCAAGCACCCGGTCCAGTGTTTCCCTCCATAAATAAACTTAGAGGAACCTTCTCAGTAGCAATCCCCTTGGGTCGACACATAACTCGCTCATCGAGGACTACTTGAGTTCATCTCATACCACCCAATTATCTACACTACCAATTCCTCTTCTACAACTGGAGCCCACCACGAGGGGTCCATCTGGTTTAGTTTTAATTAAGTGATTTTAATTTTTTAGGTTTTCCCGATGAACCCGCATTTCGGACCCGACATACCCGCGCTTCGGACCCGCAGTTTTTCCCGCGCTTCGCACATCATGCCCGACGCCTTTGGCATGCCATTCAGGACAGAACAATCAGCTCCAAGATTCACCGGCGACACTTGCGGAGTTTTCGCATAATTGCAAACCATAGATCAACTCGGACAAAAGCTCAATTTATCGGACATTCAGCTCATTCAGTATGCTATTAAGTATAACCGGTCCACAGATAAATTGCTATGGGCAGGATGCCCCGAAGCCAAAGGAACATCTTGGTTAGAATTTGCTAATGAAATTTTGTGGTGCTATCCAGAACAAGGCATAGATAAGTATGTCCGACCCGACCCTCCGAAGTCCGAAATATCCGGACCCGACGGACCCAATGAATCCAAAGATTATGAAGTTTGGACGCTTCAATCAGAAAGTCATGAAGACACGCCCGTTCAAGAACTCATCGAAGTAGAAGGATCCGCATCCGAAGATTTTAATGCAACATCCGATGCCCCAGAGGAAGTCCGAGTCTCCGAAATTTCGGACTTGACCTTCGGACAAGTTCAGCTACCATTGGAACAATTGGATTCATTTGTCGAAGTCATTTATACGGAGATACTAACACCAGAAGTCATAGGAACAGAGCTAACACATCTAGGAGACGATGGACCCGAAATACCTGAAATGTCGGCCGAAGATTTGTCCGAAATTTCGGACATTGACATTATCATCCGGTTTACCAATGCTTTCAATACCCTCGTCCATCGCACTCCCAGATTGCATTTTACCAGTATGAAAGCCAATGACATCTTTACCTTAGGAAAAAGCTATAGTCCGAAACCCCGAAATTTGGGGTTACACAATACCCGAAAAACGCGCACATATGTTCATAGTTTGCACATACCAGCATCGCACATTTTACCCCGGGTTTAGGCCGGTGTTTCATATCTCAATAACCCGAAAAATCCCTATCCTCATACGTCCACACTTAGAAACTAATAGTACACAGACATTTCGGACCCGAAAGTGCGCTAATAACTCCTATTTACATAGCATTTCATCTTCGGACTGCGCATCGCACGCGCACCCTTATATCTACGTAGAAAAACACGAAAAAACCCGAAAACCTGAAGAAAGACAGTCAAAAGTTGCACGAAGAAGTCAAGTCAGATGGTACTCTGCGCCCCTAGTATCATTTTGACTGTGTTATCCGAAATACTACTTCGCACTTACGAATATTTTCCTTCATCATTTATATAGGCACCCTAGTGGGAACCATCTAGCATCGGACCCGAGACACGGACATAGGGGACACATAGGACAAACACAGATTTTCAGACATCACATTGGCCGATGATTTCGGACATTCGGATACCATTGGACACTCGGACATTGAGTTGTTTGCACCCATCGCATTTGTGCAGATGAAAAACGGTGATAGATTAAACAGAGAAGTAGGAAAAGATGTCAGAACACGAGCGGACACATATCAGTGCATTTTCGGACTTGCACTTGGACAATTCCCATGCATCGCATCGGCCGCGTCGGCCGCTCGGATACATTCCCACGCATCGCATACCTTCGCATCACTTCCCCTATGCTTGAGATACCTCACATTCATCAGATTCATCCATTGCTGCACTCATCGTGAAATATCGAAACAATCACACATATCCACACTTCGGACCCGACGAACCCGCAAATTTTCCCACGCATCGGCCGATAAATTTGGGCATTCGGATCGCACGTTGTCGCATCAGAGTCATAGACATCCATTCCCCGCGCATATCATGTTTAGACCTCCTATCCTTCCCTCGCTTTCGCTCAAGTAGTACACTGACTGGGGACAGTCAGGATTCAAAGTTTGTATGTGATGTAGAGACTGACATCTCTGTGGCCTCGTAGAGGTCTAATTTCCGATGCATGTCCAATGCTAATCATTACCCGAATCATTCCCTATCCTATCCGACTCAATACACACCAAACCCGAAAATCATCGGACATTGGAGATTGCACTTCGGACATCGGACATTGCACTTCGCACTTCACACTTCAGACATCGGACATCGGACATCGGACAATCGGACTTCGCGTGTACTCGTCCTACCTATGTCCTGTCTCATTGCGCTAGCCCCACTAGGTGTGCAGTTACTTGTTTTTACATCGCTAACATTGTAGACCACATTATTACATGTCTGCAGCACCTCATGTCTTATTACATAGGACATCGGACCCGAAAATATTGTGCTACTACTTTCGCCTATAGGGTTCCAGATTTCTACGTATCTACATAAATATTGGACTCCCCATAGCATCATCATCATCCAAGTAGAGGAGAGCCGTTCTCCGATGCTTAGGGGTCAAACCCGATATTTTGTAGTTCTTAGTTGACATTGCGAATATCATCGTTCCTTCACCGCCCGTATCAGTCATTGTTATTATTGCGCACACCGCTCGCTATAGTGTTACTATTAGTTTCTGATAACCCGAACCCGAACCCGATAACCCGAAACCCCGAAAACATCGGACCCGACGCTTTTTGCATCAGACATCGTAATTATACCTTCGGACATTGTTTCCCGCGCTTGGACTATTGACCCCACGTCACTCACTGACCCCCAAAACTATTCCCAGACCGCAGACCCCTGGGTCGAATGCACTTGGCTCACCAAGTATAGCAGACTAGGCAGTGCAAGACCACAACATATAGATATCAGTTTGGAGCCATCTTTGTATAGCACCACTCTGTGTTGTATTCCTATACCGATGCAAAACCCGATGTTTGGATCCAATGAATGTCCAATTGGACAGCTAGAAATATGTTCAGATGGAATGGCATTGACATGCTTTGTAAAATAGCCTGATATGGGCCCAACATGATGTAGCACTCATCCTCACACTGAGCTCGTATTCAGCTAATTTCCAATGCATGTCAAACACCCATCACACATGAATCACTTCCCGATGTTATCCAACACTTACCCGCTTAATCTGGTGTTTATCCGCTAACCCAATGCTAACCCAATGTAATCTGACACTAATCCAACAAACCTGACATTTAGGCCGCATCAGAACCTATATTTCCCACACACTTGTCCTCCCTATGTCCTGTCCTGTCATATCTATCCCCACTAGGTGCACAGTTATCTTTTTTCATGTTGCTAACATTGTAAACCATGTTATTACATGTCCGCAGTACCACATGTCTTATTACATAGGACATCAGACCCAAAAATTACTACTACTACTTTCACCTATAGCACTCTGAGATTCTACATAGATACTATATATTTTGCATACCTCCTAACTACCATTATGTACCTTTCTACCTCTGAGTAGGAGGAGGTCATCTGATATTAGTAGTTCTTAGCTGAATTTCACAATATCATCCTTTCTTTATCTGAAACACTCTGAAACATCCGACAGTAACCCGACATTCGCTATCCCTGATATTTGCTACATTCCTGATGCAAACCTGACGTAATCCGCTAACCCAAAAACATTGGACCCGATGTTTTTACCTTTGGAAATCGTAATTATACCTTTGGACTTTGTTTTCCATGCTCAGACTATCTTCCTTTCTGTATAACTAATCATTTCAATACCAAACAGCTAACTCCTCAGGTTAAACACACTTGTCTTGCAAGTATAGCAGACTAGGCTGTGCTAGACCACAACAATTATATTTGGCTGAGTGCTTACTGCGTGTTGTGCTCAGCCATTGTTGTATCATTACAGTGAGCCTGAGTGCTACACTGTATCTATGTCAACAGCATGACTCTTGCCCTTGTCTACCTGCTTGCCACATGGCCATTTAGCTGGCTGCACTGACATCTGGCATTGAGGCAAAGGTACATAGCTAGACCCAGGCAACACTGCATTGAGCAAGGTAGGAAAGAATGATGGGGAGAATAGAGGAGAGGGTGATGCAGAAGGTAATGGTGAAGAGGTAGCAGCTAAAAGAGCTGGTGTTGGTGATAGTGATTGTGTTGGAGGGTTTAGTATGAGTTCAATGGTAGGGGAAGCAGCTGGTAGTGAGTGTTTTTTCAATGTGCAGCCCCCAAAGGCAATGCAGTGAGTGTGACAGCAGATGTTCTCACAATCTGCAGCAATCTGAGGAAATTTGCAACCAGAGATGGCATACTGCCAAGCCTGATTGTTAGACCCAGGCAATGGGACCTGGAGAACCTGTGGGGACTGCATAGAGGATGTCTTTGGTAAACCACACTGGAAGTAGGTGCAGGGAAATCCATCAGCATTTTGAACTTTACACTATTTGATGAAATTAGGGTGGAACTAGTGGAAATTCTTTTGACTTACTTTGGCATACTATCACCCTTGATTGCCCTTCAGACTATTAGGTTTCACAATGTTCCACTCAACAACTTTGTTGTATATGGAACAGATAGCAAACCACTCAGGTTTGATAGGAAATGTCAAAGGGGTGACATCGGACATTGCTACTAGGATAGTCTGAAGAAGTGCCTGGAGAAAGGTATAGGCAGATGAGCAGATGTGATGTCAAATTTGATGGTGCAACTTACCCATATCAGAAAACATTGAAGACACACCAAGAAAATTGTTACAGTGGGTGGAACAACTAGAGTCTAGAGGGAATAGGAATGAGTAAGTGATGACAAGATACCTGGTTGCAAGTTGCAATAGATATAGTGAGCATTACAAAATGCCAGGAGAGCATGAAGCCTACACACATAATATTAATGGTTTTACATACTGGCAGAAAGGAAGAGGTGTCACACACTGAAGATAGTAGGTGGGGAGAAAGAAATGAGGCTGGAGAGTCTGTTGCAAGGCTACTTTATATATATGTTGGGAATGTTTGGTATAAAAACAAAAGTGAATAACTTTGATCATATCATGGTTGATGAATGATGCATCAACATGCAGACGATACTAGTGCTGCTGCAGTCCGGTGTAGCGATGTAGGACACGAGCTGGCGCTGGGCTCATATCGAGCTATTTTACAGTACATGTCAAATACCCATCACATGCTAAATCACTTCCCGATGTTATCCGACGCTAACCCGCCAACCCGACATTTAGGCCGCATCGGACCCAATGTTTTCCCGCACACTTGTCCTATCCGTATCCTGTCCTGTCTTGCTAGCCCCACTAGGTGTGTAGTTCATTATTTCGCACATTACTCACGTCGTAGCCAGCGCTATTACATGTTTTCCCATAGTCCGCAGCACCTCATGTTTATTTACATGTACTTCGGATCCGAAATACTCCGCCGCTACTTTCGCCTATGGGTTCCGCATTTCTACGTACTTACATATATATTGGACTGACCTCGAGCATTATTCATCATCCAAGTAGAGGGGAGCAGTTCCCCGACGCTTAGTGGTCAAACCCGATATTTCGTAGTTCTTAGTTGACATTGCGAATATCATCGTTCCTTCACCGCCCATATCAGTCATTGTTATTATTGCGCACACCGCTCGCTATAGCGTTACTATTAGTTTCCGACACCCCGAACTCAAACCCGATAACCCGAAACCCCGAAAACATCGGACCCGACGCTTTTGCATCGGACATCGTAATTATACCTTTGGACATTGTTTCCCGCGCTTGGACTATTGACCCCACATCACTCACTTACCCCCAAGACTATTCCCAGACCGCAGACCCCTGGGTCGAACGCACTTGTTAGGCAAGTATAGCAGACTAGGCAGTGCAAAGACCACAACACAAATATATCAGTTTGGAGCCATCTTCGTATAGCCCCTCTCAATATTGTTGTTTCTACAACGAGACAACAATAGCCGGACACTACACAAAGTAAGTAACCAGCAATATAAAAATGTTGTGGTCTTGCACGGCCTAGTCTGCTATACTTGCAAGACAAGTGCATTTGACCCGAGGGGTTAGCTATCTGGTGTTAGTCCAAAAGTAGTGGAATGATAAGTGATCAAAAGTCCAAGCGCAGGAAACAAATAATCACGAGTCTGATGCCAAAGTGTCGGGCCCGATGTTTTCGGGTTAGCGGGTTAGTAGGTTTCGGGTGCAGGTTCTGCGGACTATGGAGAATAGTGATAGTGAGTGTCAGGAAAGTGAGCGGTATGCAGAATATTGATAATGACAGGTATTTTCGGATAGAAAGAGCGGTAATATTCGCAATGTCAACTAAGAACTACAAAATATCAGGTTTGACCACAAAGTGTTGGGAAATGGCTCCCTACTACTTGGATGATGAATAATGCTCGAGGTCAGTCCAATATATATGTAAGTACATAGAAATGCGGAACCCGTAGGCGAAAGTAGCAGCTGAATATTTTGTGTCTGAAGTACATGTAAACTAACACAAGGCGCTGCAGACTATGGGAAAACATGTAATAGTGCTTGCTGCAACGTGAGTAATGTGCGAAATAATCAACTATGCACCTAGTGGGGCTAGCAAGATGGGACAGGACATGGAGAGGACAAGTGTGTGGGAAGATATCGGGTCTGCTGTCAAAGCATTGGATTGAGCAGGAAGTGATTATCGTACGACAGGCATTTGACGTGGATCATGAAATAACTGAATACGAGCCTAGCGCGAGCTCGAGTGCTACACTGGGTCCAGAACCATGGTTCAAACCAGACTTTTGGTCTGGTTCTGCACAGTTTGGTCCATGGTTCTCATGTCAGCCAGAACTGGACCGTAAATCGGTTCTCAGTTCCAGGTCCTCCTGAACTGTTCCATTTTGGTTTCCAAACTGTTGTCAATTCTGACTTTGACATCACTTACCTCAATGTCAGACTGACCTTCAGGATTTGCACTCTCAGTTAATCAGGCTACCTTTAGCCTTTTGGAATGTAAGTACTAACTAATTCAACTCTGGAGACTTTTACCAACTGACATATGTTTAACTACATCTTCCTCAACAGTTATGTATGAAGGGCCAGAGCGGACAAAATTTGTATAGATTTGATATCAACACTTTTACTTTCCAATTATGTGAGTTTGCTTTTGCAAAACCAACTTTCACTTTCTGAAACATATGTTTCCATTTCAGGATATGCTTTCACTTAAGCTTTCTTATTGCAGAATATCTCGAGATGTCCTCTCAAATTGTGAGTTTGCTTTCACAAAATGAACTTTCACTTTCTGTAACATATGATTGTGTTTTCATTTCAGGATAGATCATGGACTTATCTCTTTGATGATAGCTTATGCTTCTGATGTCTGCACATGTGCAATGATGACTCGAGTTCCTCATCCTTCAACCTTAGTTCTCATGGAATGATGGTAAAGTGCATGGGCCAGTGCAAAAAAGTGCAAAAACTTGAACAATCCACCTTCTCTTCTGACCGCATCCAGTGTGACCACAGTACCAACTCTACTGATCAGTGATCTCTGTAACATGCCTATACAAACATCACACTGCTGTCATGGGAGTGGGTGCTGTTGCACAGGGTATATTGAGATTTTGGGGGTGATTTTCTCAATCCATCTTTGATGCTCCAAAGTGGTGAAATTGAAGCTGACCATCTTGATTAGATTGATACATGTGCATGCTCACATTTGAAGCAATATCATGCTGTTATTATTGAAGTGTCATCCCTTCCTCTTCATCACTGTTCAGATCAAGCCCAACAACATTTCATGATGGTATGTATTTGAATTATGAGTCCTAATGTCAGGCCAAAGTTTCATAAGAATAATTCACCTGGGGATCCTATCTTTTTTTGTGAAAGCAAAAGTGGAAGATGAAAGTGAAGTCACCTTGTTTCAAAAGGTAACAAGGTTTTGTCCACACTGGTCCATCATAAGTTATGATCCTCCACCGGCTTTTCATTCACTGGCTCATTGCCCTCACTCACTCACACCCACTGCACCATGACCTCATTCATTGGCTGTCTTGTTGTCTCTATCGTGTTCAACCTAGAATCACAGTCTCATCATGTCTTTGTCACTTCCAGTTTTTGGTATTCCACAGTTTTGTCATCCTGTCATAATATCCACAATGGCTAATATGCATGCTAATGATCAGCACTGTTCCATTGGAAGAAAAATCCAGCAAATTGATCGAATTGGAGTGGGCTCTGATTTTGGTGAGTGATTTGACAGTCTCTGTGCCAGATGATGAGCTCTCCACATATATCACTGCTTGCTATAAATTGTCCATCTCATGATACCACTAAGGCCAACACCCAATTGTGATGCCCCTCTATCTTCTTTAACACAATACCTATCTTCAAGTCCCCAAACAAAGTATCTTGTCATTCGAGCCTGTAACCATCCATTGTTTATCAGGGACAACCACAACTGCAGTTATGCCTTTTTCATAGCCTTTGAACTATCACAGGGGAGTGGTAATGGTAATGAGCTCCGACATTTTACTGGATGTTGATAGTATGGAATACAGATGAGGCTAAACTTTGGAGGAATTATGTTATATTCTATGTAAGTTCGAGGCACAAGAACGCGCGTAGAATTGAGTCTATGCGGCGACACAGCTTTTTTGGACTTTCATCTTTCTTGCTTCGTACCACTATGTACTACTCACAAGTGCTCTACTGCTCGACTACACTCTCATTTCATCGCTCTCTCTTAAGATAATCTTTGTCTAACAAATAATATGCCTAGGATCCGAAATGACCCTAATCTAAACATCTGCCTGGATTATGCTTCTGTACCGTTTGCAGCCGCACGAAACCAGATCATTAATGAAAACGTTTCGGAAGTACAGGCTGTGCAGATCCTTCAAAACATATGGGAGGTGGCTAACGATGTCGAGAAGGTGCTCTGGCGAGAGCAACTCGAAGTCGACAGGGAACAACTTCAACAACAGCGTCTTCTCCAAGAGGAACAGGAAGACAGGCTAGAGCAGGAGAAGTTGGAAGAGGAGGAGACCGCTCGGAAGGAAGAGAGGAAGAAACACAAACACAAATATATGCCCATCCAAGCCACAGGCATCCCGGATGAACCCTCCATCACCCCCTCAGCGTACACCACGAGGAAACTAGACAAGGGCAAGTATGTCGAGTTATGGTACTTCACTAACGATGGGCTAGATGAAGCTCTCACCAAGAAAGCCATTGTCGATAATGACGCTATGGTATTATCAACACTTGCAGATGGGTCCACAGCCTGGATTACAGCGGCCTCCGTGCGTAACGCTTCTTCCGTCATCAATGACGAAGATCTCACCTTCGAGGATTTCTGTCAAGCTTGTCCTAGATTCATAACGGCCATAGAGTAAGCAGACTGGCTGATAGACCGTGTCAGGATGTTAGCAATCTTTTGGAAGAATCTTCAGGTTCATGAATTCTGTTCTATGCGTGATCCGATAGCACAAAAATCCCTCCTCACCTATCAGGCAGAACAACAAAAACATTGGCACGTTGTCGCGAAGTCAGCCGCAGGTCCTTATGACTTATCAGTCATCAACGACAACGTGCTCAAGCACACCAGGGAAAAGGTTTATTGGCAGGAGTGTACCAAGAAAGACAACCAAAGGGATTACGTGGTCAGTGTTTTAAAAAATCAACCTTTTGCGCGACACTGACAAATTCATTCGCTCTCTACAATTTACAGTCGCCTTTCATCATATGAATTTGCACCTTCCTGCGTCATGCCACATGCTTCACCCACTGCCTCACCCTCGTTTTTCAACCTTCACAGGCTGATCAACGAGGCGCGACATCAAATAATGCTTCATCGAGTCAGTGACGTGATCATCAGCGTGACTCGCGCAAACGTTCTCCATCTCTCGAGAACAGGACCAACAGAAAGAGACCTCGGCAGGATTTTTGATCCGGCGCAAGTGGAAATGTCCTTTCCACTTGTGCAGTTTGCCTTGGGCGAAACCCCCACAAGATCATCGAGTGCAAGGCACTCAAAACATGGGACAATGTGTTCGATACACTCTGTTCCCATCTCAGCAAGATACTCACAATGCGTGACGGTCGTCCCATTTGCAGCGATTGGCAGAGAGCAGGGGGTTGCCCAGACACCACACACAACTGTCACCATTTCTGTTCAGGATGCGCCGCTTCTTCTCATGGAGCACAAGCGTGTCCTCGAGCACAGAAAGCATAACACCATTTCCCCTTACAAGCCGGAGGCATGGGAGGCAATGCTCATTCGTTCGGGACTCCTTGATAGATATCCACATATACCTGATGGCTTGCATCATGGATTTTCTCTTGATATTCATACTATTAAGTATGTTCAATTGCCTCCCAACAAAGACTCTATCGTTACCTACCAGCAAGAATTCTCATCTATCGTTCAATCTGAAATATGGAAAAATAGATACATTGGACCATTCTCATCAGAGGAGGTTCAATATCTTATCGGACCGTTTCAATATTCTCCCTTTTCTATTATACCAAAGCCAGGATGACCGGGACGATATCGCATCATTCAAAAATTTTCATTTCCGCATATGCCTTCTATTATATTTCCTAATCCATTTATCAATTCTTACATTAATCCTGATAATTTTCCCAGTACTTGGGGTACCTTTCACATTATTGTGCTCACGATTAGTCGTCTACCTCCAGGTTCTCAGTTTGCTACAAGGGATGTTTCAGAGGCTTATCGAACCATTCCTCTCCATCACTCCCAATGGCCAGGTGCCGTTGTTCGCATCTCGGATGACCAATTTTGCATTGACATGTGCACATCCTTCAGCCAGTGCCTATGGTATCGTCGTGGATGCAGGGCTCGATTTATTCAGGTATTGAGGCATTGGTCTGGCATCCAGATGGGTCGATGATCATTTGTTTTTCCGGATACTTAGAGAGCACATCGCCGAATATAACCTTCAACGACGGAGTTGGCATCATGGAATCGTCGAACGAGGTATGCACCAAGATGGCGGCAGAATTTGGTTTGGAGGACACACATTTGACAATGGAACACTGGAAGACTTCGACAAGAATTGTCGTTTTCCCATCCACGACTTATCAGGATCATCCCCAAGGTCACCCGAAGACTTGTTGTTTTTGTGCAACTTTGCGGACATCAATGAGACCTCTGATGATCTCAGCATACCCTGGGAGCTTCAAAAAGACGCACCGTTTGCATATCATAATTATTACATTGGTTTTATGTGGGACATCGCTCGTGATGTCGTCTACTTGGACGAACTGAAGAAGCTCAAATACTTACGAGCGATCGAGGTGTGGCAAAATCGTAAGACTCATGTTCTCATCGACACTCAGCAGATATACGGCAAACTGTTACATACCACTCTCGTCATTCCGAGAGGCTGCACTTATCTCATGGCCCTTGAGGCCATGCTGCGCATCAGCTTTGAACAGCCTTTTCTCCCACGCCGACCAATCAAATCACTTGCAGCTGACCTCATCTGGTGGTCTGACCTTCTTAATAGCCATTTCATCAGTTGACCCATCCCCAGACCCATTTTCTCTCTACATGATCCCAGAGCCTTCTCGGACGCCAGTTCAGGCGTCGGGATTGCCATTATTATCAACTCTCACTGGAGAGCATGGCGTCTATACAAAGACTGGAGAACACTTGATGGTGAAAAAGACATTGCCTGGGCCGAAGCTGTCGGGTTTGAACTCCTCATTCAACACATTGTCCAGTTGGGAGAATCAGAACGGCATTTTCGCATCTTCGGGGACAACCAAGGCATCATTGAAGGCTGGCGCAACGGCCGCAGCAGAAACTCGGCAGTCAACACTGTCTTTCAATGCATTTTCACCTTCATTGACGGCCTCTCATATCCACACTCTTTCCACCCTTCATATATCGCCAGTGAATTCAACCCAGCCGATGCCCCCTCCAGAGGCGTCTACAGCAGTGTGCGACTTTTACTTCCGGAACTCCCTATTCCCCACACACTACATCGCTTCATATTCAATCCATTCGTCTCCCCAGTCACCAAAAGCGCCTCAATCAGTCGAATCGCAGAACCTTCGACTGAACCCAGAACCAAACCCCAACCTTACAAAACGGGTCTCAACCCTCTTCCTTCATTCCTTCGCCCTCATTGTCTAGCTCGAGACAGACTCAAGCTTTGGTTTCCCCTCCAAAGCAGGTTGGCACGGGATAACAATGGGAGTTTTTTAGCTGTGACAGAAGAGGATCTGGATAGAGTGATGACGGTGATGAACATGGCTTGGGCCAAAGGAACGAGAGAATGTTATGGAGCCGGATTGTTATTGTTTTATGTGTTTTGCAACGATCGGGGCATACCGGAGGCTCAACACTGTCCAGCAGACACTCGCACCATTCTCACCTTTGTCACGAGTTGTGCTGGTTCTTATGCAGGGGAAACACTAGCCAACTATGTTTACGCTATTCGAGCATGGCACATCCTGCATGGCCAAACTTGGGCAGTGGAACAGGAGCAGCTGAAAGCGGCCCTCGATGGTGCGATAGCTTATGCCCCAAAGTCTTCCAAGCGAGTGAAGCAGGCCCCATTCACCATCAGCATCATTCTCGAAATACGTGTGCATCTCGACATCTCACAGCCACTCGATGTGGTGGTCTTCGCATGTCTAACAAGCACATTCCATTCTCTTGCTTGTTTTGGGAAGTTTACTGTCAAAGCGATGAAAAATTTCAATGGGGCCATGCACATCAAACGCTCTGACGTCATAATGGATGCTGAAGATCAGAATGGACTTCTCATTTCCAAGATTCATTTACCACGTACCAAGACTTCAGTAGTTGGTGAGGATGTTTATTGGGCGCATCAGGCAGACGGCACTGATCCCAAAGCGGCCCTCATTAACCATTTTACAGTGAATCAGCTGGCAGGCAACAACCACCTTTTTGCTTGGAGGCATCCCAAAGGCATGAGGCCATTGACACGCACTGCCTTCATAAAGAGGATCGGTGAGATCGTCAGAAGGAATGGAATGACAGATCTGAAGGGTCATGGCCTCCACATAGGTGGAACATTAGAATATCTGTTATGAGGTGTTCCTTTTGATGTTGTGAAGTCTATCGGAAGGTGGTCTAGCGATGTGTTTGTGGGATATCTTCGACAACACGCAATGATAATGGCTCCCTACATGCAGGAGTCACCTATACTGGAACCATTTACTCATTACACCATGCCTCCACCTTGTTAATTGGGGTATGTTGACATCACCCTTCTCCTGTTTTTTGGGAGTCCACGCTAAGCCTGACGCATCGCAGGGCTCCTTATTGATTTGGGTATCACGGCTCACCCTGGACTCTTTCGCGCAGGGTTGAAACGATGTTTCGGGTCGAAAAACCCTTCGGGTTTTCAGCCCAAATAGCCTCAAACACTTATCAGTCCTTACCATTTGTAAATCAGATACCATTGTCAAACTATTCATCTGATTTTTTTCCGTGCAACAAAAAGCTAACAGCAGCGCATAGATCTTTCTCTAAGCTGCAGAGGGTGTATGGTGTGTTAAATGTTTTGTGGTGCTTTACAGCTTGCCTCATTTCAATAGATGCCCAGGACATCTAAGGCTGCTTGTTCCCACACCTCCATCACCATAATGCACCCACCCTATTGTTATACCTGCTGTCCTCGACAGTATGCACATCTGCAGTGCATACATGTATCTAACTCTTATCTTTGCAACTTCCAGAATGTATCCCGTCACATCAAGTCCAGTGGTCCATACTTTTCAGCACTCGAATCTAACTGTCAATTTGGCAGGTGTCAATATACACCTGGAAGTAGGTGCCATCTGTGAGATGCACTGGCACAATGACAGTGAGGTATATCATCGTCATTATTGCTCTCAGAGATGCATACTCATATGATTCACAGTCGCTGTGATGTACCGCAGCATTTTGCATGTGCTGACATGAAAAGAGCGTGAGTTGGGTGAAAAATGGCAACAAGTGCTCCCCACACCTGATCCAGTCCAGTAAAAGTATAGAATAGTCTGTCGCAATCCTTGCAGAATGGGTGGTCAGCTCTGTCACAACAGTGGGCAAACAATGCCTGAGTGGAATAAAATAAATAGTCGCATTGATCACACTGTATCATGATAGTGGAAGTCAAGATGAAGTTCGCCACAAGGTTGTCGAAGTACACTGTAGATAGTAGTTCCAGTGAAATTCATTGGGTGAAATCATCAGATAATAGCCTGAAACTCAGAGCATTAGACTCTGTTCAGACACCAAATCATAGTTTTCAAATTCATCATTCGCATTATGTGATGCTACCATGGGATGTACTGGGAAATCCCGGATTGCCCTTGTGCCACTACTACCATCATTGATATGATATCAGAC